ATTAATTTAAAAAAAATAAATTCAATGAAACAAACTACAATGGATCAATTTTTATAATTTTTTATAATGTATATATACATATATAATAATAATAAATAAAATTTTTTTTAACAATATCCTGCATGTCACGTGCAGCCAATAAGATTCTTACCCTCCCTAAATGCATCCCTCCATAAATGCATGGTCTTGTCCATTCCCAAGGGGGGTGCACTATGGAGGGTTGACTGTAAAGGTTTTTTCATATATTTGTTATTTTTTATGATTCAAGTAACAAATTGATTAAATCAGGCAAGTTTGTGATTTTTTTCTTAGTGAGTGACACTTGACCCTGCGACTGATAGAGGGTATTTATAATGATATATTCAAATATTAGCCTTTCATGTATGTGTGTACATATATAAAACAGCATTTTTTTAAAAAAATACAAATAATTTACAACCTTTAGATAAAAATGAACTTCTTAAACATGTTTTAATCTCAAGAAAGTGGAGTATCACAGTTATAAACAAGTATTATATCAAACTAGTAAATTAAATAAACAAATTCAAGTATTACTCACAAAAGGATTTAACTTTTTTTTCATATGAGTGCTTGTTTAGTATATACAGGTGTTTAATTGATATTTGACTCATTATATATAAATTATTTGATAGGCAGATGTTGATAAAACAGTAATGAGTGCTGATGTTGATAAATTAAAATCAGGATTGATTCAACTAAAAATATATTATCTGGATTACAAAAAGATTATGCTAAATGATTGAATGATTTGGATACTACTAAAGAGAAAGTAGAAAGTTCTTATAGTGAAGCACAGTTGTTGAAAAGGCTAATGAAGAGCTTGAGAAAAAGTATAACCAAACTCAAGAGAAATTAATAAATGCACAAGCTAAGAATGAAAATCTTAAAGAACAATTCTCAGCTCTGAGTGAAAATATTTTAATGCAAACCTTAAATGGACAAAAACTTGGGTTCTTCTAACAAGCAAATAGTAAAATTTTTAAATTACAAAACTGAAATTGAAGAGTTAAAGAAAAAAGTTGAATTGCAATCTAATGAACTCAAGCAATCTCAAGAAAAATTGTCAGTTTACAAGCAAAATGAACAAGGAGCATTAATTAATAAATTGAATTATGATTTGGATTCTGCTAAATGAGGAATCAATATATTGAATAAGGGAATATATGTTAAGAATTTTCTTGAAACACTTGAAATGATTTCCAGCAACACAAAACAAGATTATGAACACTTAAAAGATAATCTAGAAAAATAAAGAGCTGAATTCCAGGTAAACATAGCTTTTTAGTTAAACAATTTAAAATAACAAATAAATTTTTTATTTTTTATTTTTCAAAAGTTCCAATCAAAAGATTTTGATAAAAAAATAAAGAATTTCAAAAGATGAGAAGTGAGCTTTCTTTAGTAATTCAAGAACTTATAGAAATGTCCACTGAAAAGAAACAATTGGAAAAACATTAAGTGGTATGCACAATAAATCAAAAGATGAGACACTACTTCATTTAGAAATTTAAAAACATATAGATATGTTAGCAGAATTACAAAACAATTATAACTACTAACTTCAAATTAATGTTAAGACTCTTGAGGTCAGACAAAAATATTCACAACTACAATTAGATATTGAAAAGACCCAAAATGAAACTCTGCCAATTGATTTCTGAAGGAGTTTTGGCAAGCAACCATAAAGTTATCTATTCACATTCAGTAAAGCATTGAGGATATGAAACCAAAGATATAAATCATCATGGGTGGGTGTTTAAACACCACTTTGTCATAAATCAACAATTTACAAATATTTAAATTATGAAGAAGTCCAGAAAATTTAAAGAAAGGTAAAATTTCATATGAGATAATAACATGAGTAATGAATGATACAAACATTCTCATATTAACATTGATGTAAAGGTCCATCCTTGTCAGTTAAATCTTATGATGGGTGAACTGTAGAAAATTTTTATATATTACTATTTTATTATTATATTATTATGTCTCACAGTTATCATTACTTTCATTATTATATATTTTTCCTCTCTTCATTTTAACTTCCACCTCCAATTTTCCCAATTTATCTTTATCTTTCAATTCTTCCAATTCTCTCAATCCATTCTCATCCCCCATTACCGCCCCCCCCCCCAATTTTCTCTTCCTCCTCCTCATGTTTAATTGCATTATTTCCATATTTTTGTAAAGATCTTTTTTTTCTTTTTTCTTTTTTTCTTTTGATTTTCTTTGATTTTTGAGCAGATTTACTAAAACCTTTATTATAATAATTATCTAATTTTTCAATTAATATTTTTCTAGCAATTGATCTATTTTGATTTAATGATCTTGTTTCCTGACACTAATTAAATAAAATAAAAACCAAATTACTTTATTATTTATTATTATAATAATTAGTTAGTTAGTTACCTGAACTCTGAATCCAGTTGGGACATGTTTTAAATTAACACAATTTGAAGTTTTATTTATTTTTTGGCCTCCATTTCCTGATCCTTTAATAAATGATTCTATTAAATCCTTTTCATTTAAAATTATTTCTATTTTTTTCTTTTTCTTGATTATGTTATTATTGATTTTATCATCATTTGGTTGATTTTGTGAATTTTCATAAATAGTTGTTGTGCAGAAGTAATTTAATAAATATCTATTCCTAATATTATTACTACTTCTATTAATGTTGATGTTATTAATAATTGAAGTGAATGGATTTGATTTGTTTGGTTTATTTAAAATTCTATTTATTGTTAATAATAATAATGAATTTTTATTATTCATGACGAGCAAGAAATAAATAAATAATTCAGCAAGTTGCACCAAATATGTGAACTTGATAAGTCAGTTTCACATGATATTTTACTCGCATGACTAAATTTTCTTTTGATCGGTGATTAGTGCTTGCTATTAAGGCACTGATCGGGATTGGCAATAGACTGGTCACGACTTTTAAGACACTCTACTTCTGAATGGCATGCTAGGCAAAATCCAGTAGTTGTAGAATTTATAAAAAAAATTACAACACATGAAAATGAAAATCTCCTTGAAGAACAACTTTTTAAATGTGCAGTAGCAGTTGATACTATTTATGGCACAAGACATTGTAAATATGTTTCTGCAATTAATTTAGCTGCATCAGCTGTCAAATACTCAATAGCAAAATCAAAAACAATTATTGATTTAGATAGTTGCTTTTAAGGGTACCGGCTGCAACTTTTGATGATGGTTGCTACCACCTTTACAACCTTTTGTTTCCTTTTTTGGATTGCAACATGGAACACTAGTTGCTTTTTGAGTTCTGGTGGTTACAAGAAATTCATCAAATTTAGCTGGTGAAACTATACCACTTCCAAAAGGTTTACTAATTTTGGCCTTTGTTAATGAGCAAAAGGGGGTGAAGAACTATTTAGTTTGTAATTATTACACGGTGGTTTTTCATACAGTTACTAGTTTTCTTGCATTTAATTTGATCCCATTGATCAAACATAAACAATTCAGGAACCCTGGTTAAATCAAAAGTTAAAAGGGACTAACATCAGGAAAGAAAGAAGAATTACTGTTGATTTTGCAACAAGTTAGAGATATCCATTATGGAGCTGACAATGATGAAGTAGAAGAGATGATTTGAAAGGAAACTGTAGCAGACAATTGAATTGTGTGTTGTGTAATAATAAGATAGGCATCATCCAATCTATAATTAATTTATTGATTATTTAATTCTAAATTTTTTGCCAACCAGAAATTTGATCCTTTTTCCATCATCATTAAAAATTTAAACATTCACTTAAACCAAAGAAATTTATAAATGTCTATCTAATAATAATAATAATAAAATGTTCTCTTTACATAATGGATAATAACAACTTCATTTTGTCCACCATCAACAAATCCTTAATGTAAGCTAACAACAACAACATTGTATTATTATTAATTATATTAACCACATTTGTTCATTAATAGATAATAAAATTTTGATTTTTACATGTATATATACTCTTTAATTAGAGTTTCTATTCATAACACAAATTTTTTATCGGACCCGGATTTTTTGGTAGGATTTTAGTAATAGTAATAAGTACTAATCGCGTTACAACAGATTCACGTGATATAGATTTTATAAAAAAAACACACATTACTATGTTAAGATTAATTCATTGCTAAATAATAATATAAACAAATTGAATAATTCTCATCACATTACTATTACTAAATAATAATATTAATCAAAATTTTCCATATTTCTAAATAATGGTTTTACACAAATAATTAAACACACATTACTAAATAATAATATTAATCAAATTTTTCATATTTCTAAATAATGATTTTACATGAATAATTAAACACACATCACTAAATAATAATATTAATCAAATTTTCCATATTTCTAAATTGATAATAAATAAATAT